CTAGCTGCCTCTCTTCTGCCCATCCGAAAATTAAAGCTACTAACACTTTCATAAATATTCTAAGTACTATCTGAATTATGAACGCCTTAGTAGTTAGAATACAAGATAACTTAGGGAGATATATATATATATATATATATATATATATATAATGACGTCATTAAAATAAATAAATTTTATGAATCTAATCAACAAATCATGGAATATTATTAAAAAAAAATACGTATATTAAATGTGAGCATTCTCTATTGTGTAAAAAAAAAAAAACTGCTTTTTCTAAGTTGAATGATAGTTAAAGCATTTATAATCAATTGACTATATATGTTTTTTGCGCCTAGTGGCTGTCAATTTGTATTGAATTCTATATAGAGTATGTGATAAGCTTCTTTTAAAAGAAAACTCAGATGAAACCACATACATCACATCTTTAAGTTAGGCTATGTACGTTTGGTTCGAAGGAGAGAAATATATGGCATAAGTATAACATAGTTGAGTCCTTGACATTTATACATATCTTTTTATTAATTGTGAATGTTATTTACACGAAAGAAGCAGATAATTTAAGGACAATAGGGTGGACTTCGTCCGGGCCCTCCAAAATAAAAGATAGGTTCGACCCCATATTTGACTTCATTGAGGGAGCTATAACAGTAGGGCTCATCAGCCATTGCAGTTACAGGATCAGGGTACTTAAGCTTAAGCGAATAATCCATAATCCTCACACCTCGCATGAAGCATGCGTTCGAATAACGACCACTTGCGAAATCTCCACTCCCCATTGTTGTTTCCGTATGAGGAGTCTCCTTTTTTATGTTTGTACTTGACACCTGTCCCCCCCATTCAACCAATATCGCACTGTGCCTTAAAGAATTCAATATTTCAGCTGGCCAATACCCTACAGCGATGTTGTTCTTTAACTTAAGATACCAATTTCCCGTGTTTGGGTCCTATATATATATCACATTCACACCCTAAAACATTAGTATAAATTTCCTTTAAGATAATTCATAGCACATGTTGTGATCACATACCAGGAACATTCCAACGTTAATTTCATACTGTGGGCCGAAAGGGGATGATATGGGGCCTATGGTACCACCAAGCACTGCCTGCCCAGTTTGTATGAATCCAGAGCAAGTAAGATCAAAGCAACCGGTTGACCTGTATGAATCCCTCTGCATGCACACAATCATGTTTCATTTCCTCTTTCAAATTTGAGGTCACAAAACAACTAAGATAAAAAACAAAGTAACTTGAGTTTAGTACTTACGGTCCAGTAGGCAAAAAACCGTGTGGCTCCGTCACCATATAGCTTGGGATTAACCTAAACCATAGTTGAAAGCATTAGTCATATAATTACAACACCATAAAGTCTAATATATAAGTATTGTGAAGTGAAGTGACCATCCAGCCTGATTCGACGCTTTCGAAGTAGGGATTGTTGCTGTTCTTAAGCCAGATTTGAGCTGTGGTGAAATCGTCTGGCATTTTAACCTTTGGATTCCAAACATTGATATCAGCTTGTGCACCAATGTAATTGTATCCCAGCGTCACAAGATATGATGACTGTATCATCATGTTACCATAACATTAGTTTGATACTTGTATTTATTATGTCACATTGCAAATATTAATTAATTATATACCGAGCGATTTTCTGGAATAAATAAACTGCCTCCTGCATTGGGGATGGACAGTGCAGGGGATTTCCTCCCAAAGCGATCGAGAGAAGCAGCTCTGAGTAAGTCTTCCCTTAGGATTCTGCGAATAGGGATTGTTCCTTTTGGACAACTTCCACTTTTCTGCCATGTCTGAAATATCACTGTCCTTGACTCCGATGCTTCTTCTGTGCTTGAATTTTGGGACTCTAGCAGAAAATCGGGCATCATCTGTGCTTTCCATTCGTTACCAACTTTACTAGTTTTAAGTTTTAGAGGATATTAATTAAATGATCATAATCTAATTCAATTGCTTATTTAACATTAGGATGATGTGATTAACGATAGACTATTAGAGGGTCTCCGTATATTATTAATCTTTTTGTATCATTTGGCATACTCTAATATTTAGGGTTTAGAAATTAAAACCAAAAATTACCTAAATATACAAAACAAATTATTAATTAAACCTACTACTAATCATCACATTTGATAATTAAATTATTATATTTTTTATTATTAAAAAATTAATAATTTTATTAAATTTAATATTTGAATTCAAGATTTTGAAACTCAACAACTAATCACAACACTAATTAGATGAACATACTTTTATTACTTGATATTAATTTTTATTTTATTTTTAATAAAAATATGAAGTGGCTTGATTACACTAATAAATAATAATAAATATAGATAATATGAAGAAGACCTTGATAGTATGATTTTTTAAGGCTGGATGATCAAAAGCGGGTTGATCATAGATGTTGACACAATCAATAATATCTCCATCTTCACTCTGCAAGAAGAAAAAATAAATTATATGCAAATAATATAAAATAAAACCCTCTCAATTGAGTTTTTTTTTTCATCTAAAATTATATTTTTTCTATTTAATGTTTTAAAATATTATTGAAAGATATCTTTCAAAACATATAGCAAAAATATCCAAATAATATATAAATTTCTCATAAATGAGATTTGTAGAAATGAATTGTTGAATGCGATATTTCAGACTCTAAGTTTTACTTAAACAAATGAACAACAAGTAATTAATTATCTTACTAATAATAATCATTTGTAAATTCCAGTTTTGACAAAATCATTTGCAAATATTAGCAGCTACCTACATTAAAAAAAAATATTTCACTAATAATTAATAAATTAAGTTATCAAAATATACTTTATAGTCTATCAAAATTTTAAAATGCATAAGTATAATGTTAAAGATGAATTGTAATATTTGTGATAGGTTAATTTTTCTCCTAACATAGGTATCCCAGCTTACTAGATTAAAAACTAATCACCACTTGCAATAATATAATTGTTGTTAGCTTTAAGGATTTTAGCTAATAATTTTAAAATCCGACGACCATTCAACCTGTTAAGGCACATGTTTAAGATTCATTTGTAATTGAGTTAATATTAATAAAATAATAATAATAATAATAATACTATTATATAAAATAATATTAAAAACTATAATATCATAACTTTATAACAGTAAAAATTAAAAACAAAACATAAAAATGTTCAAATCAAATATACCCATATTAATAATAAAAGAGATTATTTTATTTCGTATCCACAATTTCTATATTTATTTTTTTCTCAATAATTATTAAAAAAATTGTCATATATATTAAAATAGTAAAATTGTCATAAAAAATTATTATTTTATCTATTTTTTATGAAGACATAAAGTGATTTTTTCCTTATTAACATTATAATATTTTAATTGAGTTTTAACAGTAAATATCAACATTTATTAATAAGAACAAGATTATATTTAGAATAGAAAAAGAAAATGAGAAATATTTTAGGTAAATTTTATTTTTTTAAAATAATTGTTGATTCGTTAAAAAGTGAATTTTGACCTTTTTTTTTTCTTCCAATTCTTCAACTGATTTTTTGGTTGTCTCGGGGACTTGAACCGTCAAGTGACCAATTTACAAATTTTTTAGTTAAACTGGCCGGTCGGATCTTTTTTTTTTTGTTCGTCCCTGGAGTATTCACCGCCGAACCACACGCTTGGGGTTACTAGCCGGTCGGATCTAATTTTAAAATCATAAGTTTTAAAATGGAAATGAAAACGGGATAATTTATTTTTTAAATTAACACTTTCTCCTCATGACTTGCAAAAAAATAATTTCGTCACTTGCTTCTTTTATGAGTTTTATTGTGATGATGATAATTAGTATGATGATGTAACGATTTTTTATTTTTATTTTTATTATATTTTTTTTCAGAAGAAGACTGTTTTCAAAACGGATTGCATTTGAAATTCTCTTCTAGGGACAGGAAAAAAAACGCTTATATGAAATCGTAAGGATTTTATTTGTGATAGTTTTTCACTCTCGTGACGGGTTATTAATTAATGATCAAGAAGTTCTCTTTAACATATTTGAAATTTAGTCCTCTCTTCAATATATATGGTCACATATACCAATCTTTGGTTGATTTTGTTTATGGAATAAATATTTGGGAGAGCATTCGTAATAAGGTAAAATCTCTGGAATGATAATAGCTGTAATTAATTGAAAGCTGGAGTGGCAAACCTTTATGGTTTTCACAGCAGGCTTGTTGAGTTGCTTCAATTTGGCTTCGATTTCTCTTTCAAAAGGTGATGATGTTCTTGCTTCAGCATGCAAGTGCAAGCTGCACAAGCCAAACAAGACCCAAAGCATCCACATTATTGCAACCTTACTTTTCCCCATGCTGTGTTTTGATATCTTCTCTCCATTTCTCCGTTAATAAATCGCAAGATACATACATACGAGTTAGAAATTTGCATGCATGTGACGTATCAATATTAATGGCCGTCATTTATTGATGTATTTATTATAAAGTTAATCCATTTGTATTGTTATAGTTATCACGGTCAATTCTATTTATTATCATTGCATATCCAAGTTTCATTGCATTTGCCAAAAAAATAAGAAAAGAAAAGAGGTTTGCTTGTGAATTTGTAATACCAAGTACCAACTATGAATACATGATTTTAAAATAATTTAAAAGAAACTTACATTTATATTAGATTAAGGTTAAAATATTTTTTTAGTGTATATAATTTTATATATTTTATCTTTTAGTTTTTATAGTATAAAATAAATATTTTTTTTTTTATATACTTATTCTTTTCAATTTTTTTCAATCTCTAAAGTTTAAGATAATTCTTTTTTAATTTATATATTTACCGTTTTTCAATCTTTTTAATCTTTGTTATTATTTTTCTTTTATAACATTATCTTTTTTGTATTACGTTGTCTCTTATATGTCAATGCTAATAAAAACATAATTAATATAAAATATTATTACAAAAAAATGTTTTTAATTTTTTAAATTTTAATTTCTTTATAAAATATTTACATTCACTAAGAGAATTAGTAAGAAAATATAACATTCTTATTACCTAAAAAGACAAAAGGTTAATTAGGTTAGTAAGTCATGTTTAATCTATCTAATATTTCTAATTAAGAATAACTTTGTTAGGATATAAACAAAGTTTCACATCATTAGAATATGAGGAGAGACATGAATTTATTTAATACACAAAATATATATTAATTTAAAATCTTTTAGGTGATAACTAAATAAATTTTTGAAAATTTATGTTCAAAGTGAACAATATATTATACTAATATAGAAATGTGGATGAATATATACTCATTGTACAACAAAACATAAAACCTCCTCTTATAAAAACTTTACAAAATACAAATAATACACATAAATTTTATTAAATAAGATGTTAAGTCATTTATTTGAGAAAAGAATATAAAAAAAATCTCATATATCTAAGAAGTGAATCCAATGAAAATATGTTTTATTACAACAGATAAAAAGAATAAATCATGATTTTTAAATTATAAATAAAATAATTATTGATGAAAAATAAATCTCTGTTAAACACACTTCTTTACAAAATTATTATTATTATTTGATAAATTGAAGATACATATGTAATGAAAAATCAAGGACAATAGGGTCCTCCAAAATAGAAGACGGGGAGGCCTCCAAAGCCATCCATTTGATTGTAGCAATTATAACAGGTGGGTTCATCAGCCACTGCTGTTGGTTCATAAGGGTACCGAAGCGCACGACCAGCGTACTTTACCTTCAAATGACGCATGAAGCATGCGCTCCCCTTTAGATCGTTAATCAAATCTCCACTTCCCATCCCTGTTGCAGTGTGAGGGCGCCTACGTTTTACGTTCGAACTCACCACTTCTCCACCCATTTCAACTGACGTAGCAAACTCTCTTAAGTTGTCAAATAACACCCAAGGCCAATAACCTATAGGTACAGTCTTGTCGTTCCATAATGCAAGCCACCAATTCTCATCAATCATCATCATCCTAAGTCCTAACCAAATAATTAAAACCATATTTCTTTACCACTGTTTACTAAATTAGTATATTGTATATACATGTGATGATTACCCTGAATATTCCAACGCTGATCACATACTGTGGGCCATGTGTGGTTGACACAGGTTTTACGGTGCTACCAAGTGCTACTGTGCTGCCTGTTTGCACAAACCCAGAACAAGCAAGATCAAAGCAACCTGTTGACTTGGATGAATCCGTCTGCACCACAAATTACGATTTAATTAACAACCAACAAACAAAATCACTGATTTTTTCAATAAAAACAGCTACTTACAGAAGTCCAGTAGGCAAATAGCCGGGTGTTTGTGTCACCATATAACATCGGATTCACCTGAACCATAATAATTAAATGTCATTTTATGATATATATATTTCATCCATATATAAATAAGCAACTAGCTAGCAAGTCTTACTAATAACTAATACTATCACTAACCATCCAGCCTGCTTCAACGCTTTCATAATTAGGACCATTGTCGGTTTTAAGCCGGAGTTGAGCTGTGGTGAAATCATATGGCAAGTCAACCTTTGGATTCCAAATGTTAATATCTGCTAGTACACCATAAGTGGGTGCCTTTGACGAAAGATATGATGCCTGCAATGCAACATATATAATACATGTAATAACTATATAGTATATAACATTAACTTTTACATTTTCATATGTCAAGCACCGAGTTATCTAGACGAAATCATAATGACGTAACTAATATTAATTGCGTTACATACGGAGCGCCGTTGTGAAGCATATAGTTTGGAGTCATTGGTGTGGAAGGTTTTAGTTGAATTGTTGAACACTGCAGAGGGTTTTCGCCCGAATTGGTCGAGGAAAGCAGCTCTGAGCAAGTCCTCCTTTAGAATTCTGCGAATAGGGATTGTTCCTTTTGGACAGCTTCCACTTTTCTGCCATGTCTGGAATACCACTGACTGTGACTCCGATGCTTCTTCTGTTCTTGAATTTTGGATTTCTAGCAGAAAATTGGGTACCGTCTGCGCAGTTCATTCATCACATGTTTAAATTAAAGATGCATAAATCTGTTAGTTTAAAAGGAAATAAACAAATATTAGCTAGATGGATTATATGATACCACCAGGCTCTGGTGTCATTGGCAATTTGGCATAATGTACATACAAGTCCGTCCAGAATGAAAGAAGAAACAAGTATTACGACTCTTTTTTTTTTTTTTTTATGAAGTTATTGAGATGAGATGTTTTCAGTAAAAACAAGTGTTTAGTTTTTCCCTAATACTATTTTCTTTGCCTTGCCTTTTTCAAACATAAATTATACCGTGTCAAGACTTTATCTACGACACTTTCAAATCCTTCTAATTATCTATGGGGAAAAATTATTTCTAAAAATAAATAACGCACCTGAATAGTGTGATTTTTTAAGGCAGGATGGTCAAAAGCAGGTTGTTTGTAGATGTCCACACAATCAATAATATCTCCATCTTCACTCTGTAGGAAAAAAAAATCACATTATATTTAATTAATGCAAGGGTCAATTTTTATGATTAATTATGATACTGAAAAACTAAAACATGTTTTTTTAAAACTTATAAAGGCAAAAATGATTATTTTAAATTTGAAAATTTTAAAATAAAATTACAGTAAATTTAAGAGATTAGAAGTAGGGATGACAATGGAGTCCCATGGAAGCGGGATAGTAAATTCGTCCCTGTCCCGCTGGATGAAAATTAGCCCCATGCCCACCCTATACACACGCGGGTATCCATTAAGCATGTATTCATGAATTTCTTGAATATTCACGGATATCCATGAATATTTATAAATTTTTTAAGAAATTAAAAAAATTGTATTACAAATAATTTTAAGTTTATATTTAATGTCATTAAAATATTAAAAATAAAAATTCAATGTTAATTTTAAACTTGTATTTAACGTTAATTTTGTTGAAATAATAATAAAAATGCAAGATAATCAATAACTTAAAATACATCAATCTCACAAGTGAAAGTCTCATATCACAAAGATGAGAGTGTAATTTTAGGATTATGTGGTACAAGGATAATTAAGATATATATTTAAGAAATATTATTAAATGGGTACCCGCAGGTATGGATATCATCATACCTGCTCCAGTCCCGTTTATAAATGGGTAAAAAATTATTGTTCTCATTATTCGCGGGTACCCAATTAGCCTATTCATTTATTATTCGTAGCGAATTTTATCCGTAGATACCCGCGAGTGCAGGTATTTTTGCCATCCCTAATTAGAAGCATATTTAAACTTAAAAATTAATTTCTTTCTTTGTTCTTTAATGGTCAATTATTAACCTAATTTAATACTTATTTTTTTTAATACTTAACAATTAAGATATCTCACTAATTAATGTCTTTATCAAATATTGTAATTATATATATATATATATGAGGAGAGATCTTTTAGCTTCAAGAATAAGTTTATGTAGACTTATTCCGTTTAATAACTTATATTTTACATCAAATTTTAACGATCTAACAATTGAATTTAAAGTTCTTAATGTATATATTAAATCTGTAAATTTTTAAAAATTTTAAAAATTATTTGATACTTTATTTCATTAATTTAAATTAATAAAAACTCACAAAATTATTTTATATGTTGATTTGAATTAATAAAATGAAGTATATTTTCAAATTTTTAAAAAGTTTGAAAACTTGATCTATACATTAAATCAAACTTACTTTTAGAATAAATAAATCTCTCCTATATATATATATATATATATATTAATCAAAAAACTTTGTTTAAAAAAAAAAAGTTGATCATATTATTGAATTGGTATGAGTTAAAAAAATAATAATATCTGTTAATTGAAATAATTATAATTTGTTTAATTTAGTGTTTAAATAAAAGATCGGGACAGCTATTTTTATGGATTGAAAAATGAATTATTTTTGTTTTGATTTTCGTTTTCATGGTATCATTCAAACAATCAAATACAGTGAGCACCCTCGCGAACAAGCAGTAATAACTGTATGATGTTTATGCTATTTTTCTGATCTCAAATTCCATTACAAAATATATAGACACAAAGATAGGATAAAAGTTATTCCTCGTTGAATGATAAAAAGAATGATAACCGTAATTGAAAAAGGGGATGAAGGAATTGCAAACCTGAATGGTTTTGACCGCAGGCTTGTTGAGAAGTTTTAATTTGGCTTCGATTTCAATTTCCAAAGGTGACAATTTTCCTGCTTTGGTACACGACACACACAAGACCCAAAGCACCAACATTACAATTACGACGTTACTTTTCTCCATCTTACTGTATGTTGATAACTTCCTATGATTCCCTTCACCAAAATATATACACGACATGTGTGCACAAAAAGATAAGAAAGTACTCTATTCATTTTTAATTTGACTGCTGGAAAATGTTCATCAATTTTTTAATCATCAATCTCTACTGAAGAATTTTTGTCGATACTTTTAATTGATAAAAAAATTATTTTATGTTAATTGCTATTTTACAATATTAATAGAGTATTAAATATACTTTTTTTTATTATATATAAGAGGAGTTAAAACACTTAATTGTAAAGATAAGATATTAGATAGTTATGAGTAATTATTAAAAAGTATATGAGATTTTTTTTTATTTTTTTTATCTTTCAAAGGACATAATGATTCACTAAAAAATAAATATAAAAATGATTATATATCTTTTTTATAATAAATATAGATTTAATATTGTAACGACCCGGCTGGTCACTACACATGGCACAACACACTAGAAACACCGCACAGAAAAGAACAACTGTATACATATAGAGTCTAGAATATACATATACATGGTCAAATCTGAACAGAGTTAAAGTGTACTAAAATTTCAATCCAATGCTACTATCCCAAGTAGCTCAACAACAAAATAGTCACAAAAGAAAATCAGCTCCGCCAGTCCGCTGAAGACTCACCACTAGTCCCTCACCTATCCCTGCTCTGCTCCCATACATAGTATGATCATTGCAGTCCAAACATCATGGAAACAACAAAAAGGGTAAGCTAGTGTAATTTAAAAATCAACATACATATATATGGCAATATGATAAATAACAGCTACAGTTATCAGCACACCTGTACAACTTATATCACTCAACAATATCAGCACCGCAGTTTGGCAATATCAGCACTGCTTAGCAGCAATAACAGTACCACTCAAGTGGCTATAATAGCACCGCAAAGCGGCAACAACAACACTGACTTAGCGGCTATAACAGCACCACATATGTGGCTAATAACAGCACCGACTTAGCGGCTATAATATCACACAACTTAGCACAGCACAGCACAGCACAACACAACAATTCAACACACTTATTTTTCACAATTCAGCCCAACCCTCTATAGTTCCACTATACTATAAAATTTTACATTTTAATTCATCGATTCCAGCTCAACCATATACCTCTAATACAGCCTCACATTATTTTCTCAGCGGTATCATCTAGTCATCACAACATATTCATCAAATACAACTTAGTTCAACATATAACAACATTGATTAACAATCTCAGCACAATTCAACAACCAACATCATATATTTCAATATCTCCTTTCGCGCCCGGCGCACTCAAGGTCGCGCCCAGCGCAGCTCAACCTGAGAGCACCAAGAGGCCATCGCGCCCAGCGCAAGAGTACTCGCGCCCGGCGAGACTAAACCCGAGAGTCCAAGGTTCTCACGCGCCTGACGCAATTCTAATTGCGCCCAGCGCCTGCCAGGCAGAGATTCTAAGGAGTCTTGTGCGCTCAGCGTGGCCTAACCCGCGCCCAGCGTGGGGAAGGCTCTTTTAATTGTTTAGTTTGATAGTCCTCTAATATTATTTTAATATAATTTGAATATATTTATCAACATATTTACAATATTAGTTTAATTATCTATTTTTGTTATCTAAATATTAAAATCATAATTACTTAACTAAAATAAAATAATGATCACATTTAGAGGCTAAAATGACAAAGAATGAAAATTTAGAAAATAAAATGACATTGAGTTACAATTTCATGAACTGACATTGTATTATAATGATTATATATTTTCATTTAAAAAAAGTGAAATTTATTTAGCAAAAGAACGCAAATGATTGAAGAATTACAATTTTAAAACGGAGAATGATCGTGCCATGATAGGGTCACTGGGAGAGAGAGGTTTGAGCTTTAGCACCTAGAATTGAAAAAGTGGTTTCAACTAAGAGACAGTTGTGAGGAAGAGCTGAGGCAAAATGCAGAGGAAGAGATTTGTACAATGTATATATTTTATTTATGTGTGGATTACATTGAGGGATATAAATCAAGGACAATAGGGAGGTCTTTGGCCGGGTCCTCCAAAATAGAAGATGGGCTCCTCTCCATAGTGTTCCATGTAATTGAGAGAGTTGTAACAGTAGGGTTCATCAGCCACTGCATTCACAAAATCAGGGTATTTAAGCTTAAGCGAATAGTCCTTTATCCTCACATTTTTCATGAAGCACGCGTTCCCCCATTTACCATCTGCGAAATCTCCACTTCCCATCCCTGTCGCCGTGTGAGGACTTTGCTTTTTCACCTGTCCACTGAATACTTGTCCACCCCATTCCACCAATGTTGCACTGTGTTTTAAATTCCCCAATAACTCCGCTGGCCAATAACCCACTGGGACGTTGTTCTTTATTCTAAGCCACCAACGCCCCGAATCCTCCTGTTTAAATAAAATCAAAATGCTGTATATGTCACTATTTTTAATAATGGACAAATCCATCAAATACTACAAACTACAAAAGCATCATTAATTACCCAGAACATCCCAAAGTTGAAGACATACTGTGGGCCATCTTCGGATGACACAGGTTCAAAAGCGGCACCAAGCACTGCTTGGCTCGCTGTTTGCACAAACCCAGAACAAGCAAGATCAAAGCAACCTGTTGACTTGTATGAATCTTTCTGCACCCACCAAACCAAAATCAATGCTTCATTTCATTTCCCTTCCCCCTTACAAAAATCATAACAATCCTAACGTAAATAGCTACTTACAGTCCAGTAGGCAAATAACCGAGTCCTTGCATCACCATAGAAATTGGGATTCACCTGAACATTTTCATGTATTAGTTTATAATATCACGTACGCATGCATTAATTGATTAATGATGTGAATTGCTAAACTAACCGTCCAGCCTGATTCAATGCTTTCAAAATCAGGACCATTGCCGGTTTTAAGCCAGATTTGAGCAGTGGTGAAATCACCTGGGAGTTGAACACGTGGATTCCAAACGTTAATATCTGCTTCTGCACCTATATAATTGTATCCCATTGTCACAAGATATGCTGCCTGCATGCAACAACTTCGATTAGATACCTACATTTCATGAAATCATAATCATGGAACTAATATTAATTGCGTTACATATGTATACCGAGCGATTTTCTGGAACATATATTTTGGACTCATTGGGGTTGATGAAATTAAGGTTGAAGGCGGTGGTTGAATTCTTAAACACTGCTGGGGGTTTCTGGGCGAAGCGACCATCAAGAGAAGCAGCTCTGAGTAAGTCTTCCTTTAGGATTCTGCGAATAGGGATTGTTCCTTTTGGACAACTTCCACTTTTCTGCCATGTCTGAAATATCACTGTCCTTGACTCCGATGCTTCTTCTGTGCTTGAATTTTGGGACTCTAGCAGAAAATCGGGCATCATCTGTGCTTTCCATTCGTTAAATTAGAGATGCACAACTTTACTAGTTTTAAGTTTTAGAGGATATTAATTAAATGATCATAATCTAATTCAATTACTTATTTAACATTAGGATATGATATGTGATTAACGATAGACTATTAGAGGATCTCCGTATATTATTAATCTTTTTGTATCATTTGGCATACTCTAATCACTAAAACATAAAATATTTAGGTTTAGGGTTTAGGGTATGAAATATCTCTGACTTTGACTCCGATGCTCCTTTTGTTTTCGAATTTTGGCTTTTTAGCAGAAAATCAGGTATTGCCTGCCAAGTTAATTAATTAAATATCTTTTGCTAATACTTCTTCTATTCAATTCTAAAAATAAATGACTTACCTTAATAGTGTGGTTTTTTAAGGCAGGGTGGTCAAAAGCCGGTTGTTTGTAGATATCCACGCAGTCAATTATATCCCCATCTTCACTCTGCAGAGAAAAAGAAAAAAAATGGCAATTAAATATAATAATTAAATATTCTGTTTTTATATTTCTAAAGGCATAAATATTACTTACGTTTAATATTTTAAAGAAAAATTCACAAATTTTTCTTGAGGTCTTTTTGAATGATATACACTTTTCTTCTAATTTTTAAGAATATTAATCTTTCCTATTTATTTATTTAAGTGATACATATAATTTTTTATATAAGATGATACTATTTGTATACGTTTAACATGTAACAAATTATTAATATAAGTATTAACAATTGATGAAATTTGATTTTTTACTTAATTTTAATTTTCAAATTATATCCTAAGTATTACACATGTTGTGATTTAAAAATATACCAATTATAAAAATTAATTTTAAAGAACAAGCTAAGAAATTATTATTTTTAAAATTAAAAAATAAATTTTTTTATATATAAAGAATGCATGATCAACATATATATAATTGGCAGAATATAAATTAATTATTATTTTTTTTCTCTTTTTTTTACTTTAACTAATAAAATTATTCTAAGATATGTGAGTGGTTTTTAAAGACTAATTAAGAGAAGATGTCTATCATTTAAATAGACTTTAGAGGAGGTGAATGCAACTTTTTCATATTTTAAACATGAAAGCATTTTTTTTAATAAAATATATAATAAACGTATTATATTAAAGTTGTTGTTTTTTCTTTTCTTTTTTAAAAAAAAAAAAGTCATACACCACCAATCCACTATTTTCTTTCAACTTTATTGAAAGGTGTGCAAACATCATAACAAATACATGCTAAATTTATATTTTTTAAAATTATAATACTAATACAAAATATTTATAGTTGAAAACAGTAATTAATATTTATTAAAAATTATGAGTGTACCCCTTCAAAAAAAAATTATGAGTGTACATAAAGTGAATATATTTTTTTAACATTATTTCGTACTCAAAGCTTTTTACATTTTAACTAAATTTATATATTTTGTGATGGTACTAATTACTTTTCAACATTTTTTTTTGTAAAATTTTAATGATTAAATGATATACATACTAATAATGTAAATAAAAATATACCAAAAAATAGTACAAATAGGAAAAAGTAATTAATAATAAAAATAAAATAACATTTATTTTATAATTTTTTTCTTTATACAATACTTATATTACGAAAGAAAAGGGTATATTTTATTCACTTGTTATAATATAAGACAAATTTGTTAGCTTTTACGATTAAATATTTAGAACATTACATAATAATAATTTCTAATTAGATAATAGTATAAAAGGATTATAGTGCATATAAATTTAATTATTTTTAATATATGAAGAATATAATTCTTCCATTTGAATATGCAAAAATGAAAGATGTAAATAAAAAGGAGATGATGGAATTGAGAACCTTAATAGTTTTCAGCGCAGGCTTGTTGAGACGTTTTAATTTAGCTTCGATTTCAATTTCTAAGAGGGATAATCTTTTTGCTGCGGAACACGACGCAAACAAGATCCAAAGCAGCAACATTGCAACCTTACTTTTCCCCATCTCAACTTGCATACTACTTTCCTTTGATTTCTTTCTCAGTAAAAAGGAGACATCTGAGGTCGTAAATCGAACCAAAATATATACAAGACATGCCTTCGAAAGTAGTGGGTATCAATAATGTATTTATTTATTACTAACAAATTTGTTCATTTGTTTCATTTTAATTCTTTTAAAGGCCAATTTAACTATCATTAATAAGTTTGACTTTATTTTTCTTTTTAATAGTTGTTTTAACATTTTTTTACACAAATAAATATATATATATATATATATATATATATATTTTTGTTTAATAAAAAAGTATAACTCAGTATCATGAGATCCATTTTTATAAAGTAATACCTCACATACTCAAATAAGAGATTAAATCTTGATCTTTAATTAATGACGATAAGTATTGAACTATTTGTATATAGTATTTTTTATTTTTTATAAAATAGTTTTAACTTTTTCTATTATACTTTTCTGTTTTCATTCTACAAATAAGTGAATATTAGTTGTAAATAACCAAATTAATTAAAATTTAAATATAAATAAAGATTAAAATTGATAATAAAAATAGATAATTAATGTTGTCTAAAATTTTAAAAATAACGTAAATAAAATAAATTTCTATATATTAGCAATCAAAGTTTGTAGTCACTACAATAAAATAAACTTTTAGTGGCATTTAATATGATTTTTAGTGACAATAAAAATCGCTACAAAATCTTTTATTGACATTTCACACATTAGTCATTGTATGCAGTGTCGCTAAAATATTTACCGGTAATAATTCTATATGCTGGTAAAGACCCTCATAATGGTCGGGAAAAATATATAATTTTTTGTGTCATTTGTTACTGACATTTAAAATTGCCGCTAAAAGTTTAAAAAAAGATTTATAATACTCTTTAATTATCTTATTTCTAGTCGATGTAGGACTTGTAAGATGAGTACAAATATTCTTTAGTTACCTTATTTCTAATTGATGTGGGACTTAGAAGATGAAGGTTATCTTCTAAGTATATATTCTTTAATTTTTTAATTATCTTATCTCCTAAATATTAACTTAGAATAGTAAGTTATAGGCCTAACTCAACCTTATAAAACATACTTGTAAGGTGAGAGTTATCATTCACTTATATACTCTTTAATTATTTTTTTTCTAGTCGATGTGGGACTTAAGTTTTTTTTAACAAATAATTGTCGCTAATAGTAAATTTTGTTGTGATGTAAATACATTTTTAGTGGCTATTATATAATAGTCATTAATATTTTTATAAATAATAAAATAAAGATAATTAATTTATTACCATTAAATAATTGTTAGTAATACTAAATTTTGTTATAGTGATTAAAAAAATTTAATTTAGTCTAACTATAACTTATATTTATAGTGAAAAGAGCCATAAATAAATCTTAAATATATAATTATATTTAAATAATTAATATTATTTATTTAATTATATTTTTATTGTTTTAAATATGTAGTTATAATTCTCGCTCTCCCTTTTTGTAAGTTATTAAACATTTAATATAAAACCAACCATCAATAAATATTGACAACTCACTATTTGGACAATATCTTAAAAAGGTATTGTAATAATAAGTTTGATGTTTGTTATAATGTTTTTTTTTAATAGAATCACATATATTTATATAAGTAGTTATTATTTTAGTTGATTTTATAAAATAAGATTATGATATATTAATATTATCCTTTTTATTTGTTATTAAATTGTTATGAAATAAACGAAAATATTATTATATTAAAATTTATATATTAATATTAATAAATTGATAAATAATAATTGATGAATTGAATAATTATAGAGGTGAGAGAAAAAAAATTCATTTATTAAAGCTTCTTCTCAATATTTAACAACAAGCATATATACTCATAATTTTTAATATAAACAAAAGATAAAAAATAAAATTAATTTGTCATAGAAATTATAAAATATTTTATAAAAATGATCACAATTATTTTTTAAAATTATGCCTTATAATAATCATCGTAAGAACAATATCACTTATGTTGAGTTAAAAAATAATAATACTATTTTTTTATATAAAGAAATGATAATAAGATTTAATTCTATTAAAAAAATTGGTATATAAAAGAATACTTATCCATTAAATCAACAATTTTTTTAATCTAATTAAAATAATGATTAGAAACTAATTATGTATAACATGATTGCTAGATAATTTCATTCTTTCTAATGGATAAAAAAAAAAGATAATCTCATTTTTAAATGCATAATCTCATTTTTAAATATATAATCAAAGGTTCAATTTTTATAGTATATATAATTTTTTTTAAAGTAATCAATAATTTAAATGAATATCAATAAATTTGGAAATTAGTCACTTAAATGACCCCGAACTCAAAATAGGCTCTTGTTTCTTAAAAGATGTATTTTAGTAAATTATTATGATTTCGATTTTCTTAATAAATAACAGAGATTGTCCGGATAAAAAGAATCAAAATGTTGATTACTAAAACACTAAATAAATGGATCTAAGTAGCAAATCAATTAGAATTATGAATATTTATTAGAATGGTTGATAAAGATAATACAATTATTTATAATGTTCATATATTACTCATTTTAAATAATCAAGACCGATGATATTCCTATTTAATTTTACAGTTAATTTATTTAATCAGATCAAGATATATTAAAGTAATATGTAAATAATAATAATAATAATAACATCACTACAAGAAATGTTAGTGTTAATCTTTTTATATATATAATAATATATAATTTTATTATTATTTTTAAATAAAATTTGATAATATATATTGAATATATCAACACTTTTTATAATATACCAATAAATGTTGTATTTATAATATATGTAAAAACAATTTTTTATTGATAAGGATTATATCATTATAAGGTGAATGTTGTGACAATATTTTTTATAGTATATTATATTTTTTTAATAAAATATTAACCTAAATGCATTTTGGATTTTTCAAATCTATTAGTAGTAAGATTTTAGTTATAATGTTTTATATAAAAAATATTAATCTCTCATTATATATTATTTTAGATCAATGTATAAGGGATTAGATTCATTTAACAACATAAATTATGTGAGTTATTCAATCTACTAATCACGTGTTCAACACTTATTCAAATAAACAATAATATTTCATTCAACATTCAACAATCAACGTCTAGCATAATTCTCCCTGCGACAAACGCTATTGAGATAGGAAGCCTATGACTTGTGCATGCCCGACATCAATACACTTATGTCTAACGTGAATTCGAATGAGGTAGAGAGTCGCTATGTTAATCACGGCTAGCATAGCTAAACCTAGACACAACTTCTAAAAGGCAAAGAGTCTTTACTTGATCCATGTCCGGTGTCACAATGCCAACACCTAGCTTTGTCCAAGTAAAAAGTCTTTGTATTAATTATGTTTAGTGTCACTCATCTTGGGCCCGATATCTCTAAGTTAGAGAGTTCCTCAATCAATCACACTCGATGTCTCACATTTTATGTTTAGTGTGACCAAGTTAGAGAGTTTCTCATTAACTCACGCTCAACACTATAATTAGTCTTACACTCAACGCTATTATTCTTGCGTCCGACATTGTCAAGGCAGAGAGTCCTAACTTGAGTTACACCTAACGCTGTGAAGCTGTCCTTAAAACAATGAAGATTTGTACACTAAGCATAATCATGATTTTGGCTCTCGTCACCTGAAAATTAGTCCAAGACAACATGCAATACTAGAAAATGCAATTATACAACACAATCAACTCGTTTCCAAGCAGAATAACAACATGCAACCAAAATTTGACTACATCACCAAATTCTCCTTAACACGTTCAAGAAACAACTAAACGTTAACCCAAAATATAAGATTTTCACCTCTCAAGTAGCAATACAACTGCAATTTTGATGAACTTAGGCATCATACAACTCATCCACTACAACAAAAATCAAACATACAAGTTTCTCTCACCTCAGATCACCCAAGACAAAGGAGGAAGAAGAAAATGGAATTTTCAGACCAACTCTGCACAACAATTACAACATTTTGATTCTTGACTCTGAAGCTTTAAATCACCAAACAACAACACAATTTACACTTAGAGGAAGGAAAGGTGGTTCTCCTCTACCTCCAGATCTTCTCTCCCGAAATTCTCTCTAAGTTTCTTAAGAAAAAAACTTATGAGATTCAAATCTTAAAGAAAATTTTATATATTTTCCTCTAAATTTAGTTAACTTTGACTTTAACTCAAAATAACTCCTAATCAACTATACTCATAAAAAATTCTAAATTCTTAAAATTTTACACTTATTAAACAACTAACCACAATACCAATTGAATTAACAAAATCAACAATTACTAACAATATTCACAGTATTGCACGGTTTTTATTTAATATAGAGAGTTGATACTAAATTGAATTGAATTAACTTTTTAAACCAACTTGAAAAAAAAAAAGAGTAACAATTCTCTTTTTTTTTTTATTCAACTAAAGTTTCTTTATAATTTGCACTTAACAAAATGGGGAAAAATTCATTAAATATGTTAGCACGGTGTTCAAGGTTAATTAACTAAAGTTATAAAATACAGACGTTATCAAATACTAAAGTGTAAAATACAAGTAATCAGACATAAGTGTATGCGTAGATGCAAATTGTAATGGAATTAGTTCATGGACAAGTTTGCCATAAGTTTATAACGCATTTTCTTTCGCATTTCTTATCGTAGTATTTAGAGGAATGCCATTTATTTCGAAACACAAATATTTATTCCATTTGAATTTTATTGAAATTTGAAAATAAATAAATAATCACTGATTTTGTGATGCACGAATTCGTACTTTTTAAAACTTGTAGTTAAAGTCTTCTTGAACAGAATAGAATATGAGTTTGTGGTCGTTATTTTATTTTATTTTTAAATTATGCTTCTAATATGCGGTTGTACTGTTGTACCTTTTTCTCTGGTGTTTAAGTTAAATTTCTGCTCAAAATGGAAGCTTGTCCATTAAGGGTCAACCATCGCCTTGCTTGAC